GGAGAATTTTCACTTTACATTCAAATAACTTGGACTAACCAAATACAGATCCAGGTTAAGATGGCAATTCAATCACTTTAAACTCCTGCTAAATGCTAAATTCTGCATGGTAGAAATGGTTCAATTTCTGTATCATGTATAAATATAAAGATTCCTACTTTGATAGAAGGCAAAAATCTTCTATGATTTATTTAAAATATGGAAGTAGTATTACTGAACAACGGAGAGTGAATCCATGAAAAGGTCGGATACTCTGAGTTTACAGGCTCCTTGGGGATGAGGTAGAGGAGAGCAAGATATTTTGGCAGCTGGGAAAGGGTAGAACAGTATGGGATGGACGAGATTACACGTGGTGCTGCATTAGATCTGGAAGGGTGTCCAGGGCAAAGGTTAGCCAAAATATAGCTAGATGGTAGAGGGATCTCCAGGGAGTTGGGACAAGTCGTATTCCTCATGGATGGAGAAGAAGTAACTGGGAAAAGTAAATGCTGGTGACGATCAGCAGGGGGCTGGTGATGTTTCGTTTGGATTGTGAAAAGGCGCTCAGACCAAGATGGCCTGAGGGGAGGGGAAGAGAGCGAGCGTGGTAGAGGTCGAGGCACTTGGAGGAAGAGAAAGCAGGCAGGAAAGGACGGGCTGGATGTAGGCAGAAGCTCCCACAGTAGGAAGTGCTCCTTTAGATTAGGTGTGTGATGCTGACGGCAGCCACGCTCTTAGAATTATGGTCCATGTGTTCTTTGAAAGACTCTTCCTTCCTCACAGGTTCCTGCCTTGACAGGTACCTCTACCTCTATGATCCATTTCACCCCAGATATTTTTGTTCTAGGTCTCACCTGAGCGGATACTACTAACGAAGCCAAATTAGCATGGAAGTAAGTTCCACATACAGGGGGCACTGAAGTTCTGTTGACTGAGATGAATACATTCATGTTACAGTACTATTTTAAGGAAAGATTATTTGATTCTCAGTCTCCAGAGGGATATAATCGGGAAACATGGTTTATGATTATGGCCACCTAGAATAGGTTCTGACTATAAAATTAGGTAACTTAAAACTCGATCTGAATAGAGGAGCCATATACCTTTCAGTTTACTGTTGAATTATACTGTTAGCAAATTTCCTCTACTATTTATATAACATTATTGTTGCATAACTTTCGCTTCATGCAAGACCGTCTATTTGCATAAAAGAAGAAAAGTCCCCTTAGATAAAGAGAAGAGTTTAAGGTCTTGCTTTCCAGAGGAATGATTTAGAATTGTCTTTAAAACACAACATAAAACAAAACAAAAACCTCATTTTACTAGCACAGGGCAAATCATTTTTATAATATGCACTGAAATTTCTTTTTCCCTCATGAATTGTCCTTAGTGTTTAAAAGAATCTTACCATCATATATGCGTGCGCTCTGCATGGAAGTGGTGAACTATTTTTAAGTATAGATCTTTAATTGTTCGTTGATAATTTCATTTTGCTGTGGCATAAAGATCTAAGATTTTGGATTTAAAAACTCTATAAGGTGGGAAAAAAGGTTGTTCAGGAATAATGTTAACTAGCTCTTAGAAGCATTTAAAATCTTTAAGGGACTTAATTAATTAATTATTTTGTATTGGGGTATATTTGTTTCACAATGTTGTGTTAGTTTCCACTGCACAGCGAAATTAAGTAGAGTTCCCTGTGCTATACAGCAGGTTCTCATTAGTTATCTATTGTATACATATTAGTTAGTGTATATAGGTCAATCCCAATTTAAGGGACTTTATAATACAATTAAAATAGGGGCTCTGGTTCAAATATGATTTTGATATAAAGCTGACATCGAGTTTTCTGTTCTAAGACAGTCCTGTGTTGCTCTGTCACTATTATTTGAGTTTAAAGTCATGATTACAGGCCAAGGCCATGCCCCAGATTCCACACTAGCCATTCTTTATTTAAAAAGTACCCCAAATGGGACAAAGATTCTTCCTGAGGCTGAGATAGTATCCTTAGCTCAAAAAGGTGAAGAAATAATAAGTTGTCCCGTCTCAAAAGCCTGTTTTCCTCTAATTATCACGAGTCCATCTGAGGAAGCCTCATCAGAAGGCTCCAAGGAGGCACCTGCCTGGCCACTCCCGCAGTCAAGGGATTGGGTTCAAGATTTACTTTCAGAGAGGAGAGTAGTTGGATTTTCCTAAGGTGATCTGAGAAATTGAGAGTTATAACTGGAAGTGGGAAAATCTGAAATTCAAAAGTAAACGGCTATCCACCAAGCAGATACATCAGTGGATTATTAGACTATTTTGAAAATAATAAGCAACGGAGTTAGAGACTTCCCATTCACGTGTGCTTTTCTCACGCACACCTGCACATCTCAGTTTGGCACAATGCGAGCCCAAGGGGTGGGTTAGCAGATCGCATAGTCACATCAATACACCAATTGAACCAGATATCTCTTTTAAAAATATCACATTTTAATATAAAAAGCTATACTATAAATTACTACATAGTAAATTCAATACTCTGAAAAAATACCACCCTGGAAAACCGCATCAGAATTTCAAGTTTGCATTAGCTGAAGTTCACAGCAAACTCGCTGTACGATGGATTTCACAACCTGGAAGGCTGTGCGTGCTGCATCTTGGCAGGTGCTTTGGCACCTTCCAAGTCAACTTTCCTAGGCTGATTCAGTGAGGTTCATAAATATATTGTTTTGTCTTTGTTTATAGTTCCAAGTCAACTGATTTTCCTGATTAGTGATGAGACAGATCGATGCTGAGCTAATAATAAACCTTGCTAGGAAAGAGATCTAGTAAAGGCACTAATATTTCCATAACCCAATTCCAACTACCTACATTTCGGGGGTTGGGGGGAACACAAAAAACAAAACCTAAGTGGCCATTTTAGTTACTTAAACCTTGTTTCCCCTTTTGGTCTAAAGCTCATATGGTGTTCTGTGAGAATTTCTCCTCCTTTTCAATGTATAAAAATCATTTTTTATCCTGTAATACAGGTCACCTGCACAAAAACATAGGGATATTAACTGAAAGAATTCTAGTTAAAAAAAAAAAAAGTCAAGAGTAAAGGATATCCTCAACTTGAAAGTTCTAAACTTAGGGAAGTCAAATGGACGTGCATGTTGTCATTCGTATTTTGCCGTTCCCCTAAAGACTTCCTTCGTATTTAACACATATCTATATAATGTGATATGGCATAAAATCAACATATGGTATACACAATAAACAGAACAGACTAGATCTGACATGAGTTCTTTGAATAATCTCTTTAAATAAAACCACCCTGTCTTAAAAAAAATTAGCAATTTTTTTCCTCACGTGGAAGATTTCAAACAAAATCCTGGAATCTAAAAATGCAGAATTATCTCATATTCATAGGTTTATAGTCATCTTTCTATTTTCTTATCTAGAACAAAGCCTAAAAGAAAGCAACCTAATGGATCGTACCAGAAAAGGATGATAAATGGAAGGGGAAAATGATTGAACAGAACACTAGTCCACAATTCTTTCATGAGAGAAAAAAAGTAAGTCCTAGATAACAAGTAAGTCTAAAATGAAATCTTTGTGGGAACTCTAACGGAAAATTTTAACTATCTTATTCACTATGAAAAAATGGATCTGTTTTAAAACAATTAGCATGTTTGTGTAAAATTCAAGTCACCCTTAGTTAACCAAAAAGTGTTTAAGCAGTGCAGTTGTGTCCTACTGGATAGCTGTAAGCATCTCTTTAGGCACTTCACTGGTTCATTAACATAATATAAATTAAAGCTATAAACACATAATGTTGTGCTCTGTGAAGATAATCTAATCAAGCAACATAAACCAATGCAAAAATGTGACTTCTGGGATGCTTTTTCTTCCCTTAAGACTTGAGATCTTTTTTTTAACCAGTTGTCCAAAGAGATTTTTCTGGGGAAGGGGATGCTTTGGCATTATGAAAGGAACATTGTTCAACCCCAGGAAGGCAAAAGCCTTGGGCGATAAAGAAATCTGAACCAAATTTCTTTATGGCTCTGTGTTAAAAGGACACTTCTGCAGTGACATAATAGGGGGAAAGTCTGTTGAGTATTTTTTTTAACATATTGCACTCTTTTGTTGTTGTCGTTCAATCACATTAATGCATAGAAACACAATTTTTACCTTTGAATAATAAACTGTTTAACCTATCATAAGAAAAACCATGGAAAATAAGTTCTAAAAGGCTAACAGGAAAAAATATAGGTATATTAACCTTCCTCTGCTTACTGCAATATAGAAAACACTATGAGAAAAGAAAAACGTGCAAAGAAAATTTTTGGTCAGTCTTATGTGGGTACATGTTTATATGTGCCAACTAAATGAACCGTAAGTAGCCCTGCAAGCACTGATTATTTCTGTTGACTGAGGATTACTGTCAGTGATAGAAAGGATTGTGCATAATTCCACCTTTAATATATACATCTGATATGGAAAACGGAAACTTCTGTTTCAGAAGAGAAAGAAACTAGCTGAATTTGGCATTTCAGTAGCATGCTATAGAATTCATCATGGTCAATTTCACATTAAATTATGGACAATGGCTGTATCACATTTCATGTTATCGCCAATAGCAGTAAAAAAATAAACAAATAAACAAACAAAAAAAAATAAACAGTGCCTGACAAATAATCTCCTGGGGACACAGATGAGTGTCCTGTGAGCAGCTTAGTTCAACAGCGCATGCTTCTCCTCCACCAGATTTAGGACACAACATTAAAATTCTAGAATGGCCAGAGGAGGTCATTCATTGCTGAATTCCAATATCTGAAAAACAATTGCTTGAGCAGATTGTAAGCGCTTTCATATTTAAAAAGAAAAAAAAAAAAAAAAAAGGAAAAAACAAAAAAACACATACACACAAACCCCAAAGCACTGAAGTTAAGCATTAACAAACGCTTTTCCATATTTAAAAAAAAAAAAAAAAAAAAAAGGAAAGAACAAAAATACACATACACACAAACCCCAAAGCACTGAAGTTAAGCATTAACAAACCAGGTTCATGATTTATGATCAGTATCCAAAAACCCAACTATAAACAATGCCAAGTAGTGCTCCTCAGTATTATTTTTGCAATTGTTAGTCATGTTAAGCATCAAGAAAAAGAAAGTACATCATTGCACATTACAGCCGCCCCCAAAAAAACGGCTAAAACTTTGACACTAGAGAATTGAATAATGTTTGATGCTACATCACAAACAGCTTCTGATGTATATCCTATGTGAAAAGGTCTTTACACATATATGACATTTTCCCTGGATGATGCTTCAGGTCAAATGCCGAGTTATGGCACGAAGAGCATAGAGCAGCTCAGCTTGCATCCGTGCTTCCATTAGAAGTAAATTTACGTGAACCTAGAAATGAAAGTGTTACCAACTTAGTGACCATCATAAACAACTGAAAAAACTTTAATTTCTTTTTTCATATATCAGACATTCACAAATGTTTTACATGGGTATTACAGACACATATACAAACACACAAGCCCGGGCATATTTATGCGTGTACATGATGTAATACTCATAAGAAAACTGTGTTTATAAAAAAAAAGTGAGCAGTAAAAATGACCCCTAAAGTCTTAAAAAGTCCAATAATTTTGTTAGGATCGGTGTTATGTAAAGCCAGTCAATCTTTTGGGTTATAAAATAAAACTAATTTTTACAAATCACAATTTTCCTACAAATTATACTTTCTTCCAGTTGTAAAATTTTATATGGCTAAAAACTCAGCCCCACATTTCTTATAGCCTATGCTTATTCCTTGGAAAGCTTTTAAAAACATTTCTTACTATTTACAGGCATACCTCGTTTTATCATGCTTTGCTTTATGGCACTTTACAGGTACTGTGTTTTTTACAAACTGAAGGTTTGTGGCAACCCTCCGTCAAGCAAGTCTATCGGCATCATTTTTCCAACAGCGTTTGCTCACTTTGTGTCTCTGTGTCACGTTTGGGAATCCTCACATTTCAAACCCTCCACCAGCAAAAAGATTATGACTCACTGAAGGTTCAAATGATGGTTAGCACTTTTTAGTGATAAAGTATTTTTTTAATTAAGGTATGTACACTGTTTTTTAAGACATAATGCTATTATACACTTAATAGACTACAATATAGTGTAAACATAACTTTTATATGCACCGGGAAATCAAAAATTCATGTGACTCCCTTTATTGTGATATTCACTTTAGTGCAGTGGTCTGGAACCAAACCCATAATATCTTTGAGGTATGCCTGTACTTGGGAGATATTAAAGTGAAAATGTGAAGTTTAAAGCAGTTTAGAATTAGTGTCTGGTACTCAGATATGCATAGCTTGCCTAGAGTCTTTCAGATACAGCTGTGAACAAGCACCTAACTTTTTTGGGGGGGGATACAGCTCATCCGATAGGTTAAATTATATACCCACATATTTTCAAAATTTTTGCAAAGAAATATGTTGTGATATATTTAGATTATTTTGATATCTTTCTATGGGTTAGATGTATTGTTGGATCTATTTTGTTGATGAGTAAGGAGAATTTCTAGATACCACCTAGTAAAGGGAGAAAATCTAATGCAAACATATAAGCAGAGCATAGCGATCCATCTCAGAGAGATGCTGGAGGCAAATGGGTATTTATATGATGTGTGATCGGCTCTAAGACTTCAAGAAAGTCTGCCAGGGATTGAGGTCATAACATTCTTTATCAAAGTCAGATGGTTATTGAGTGAATATTAGGACCCTAAAAAGGTTTTCTTACTCTCAAGCTTAGAAACTGTGATATAAATGGAAGATTCGTGGCCTTGAAGGTCAAAGACCTAGGATTTATAGCCATACTTATACTGTACTAGTATATTGGTAAAGATCCTTAACATTTATTAGGTCTTAAATAAGGATTCCTATATATTTCAATCCAAAGAAATGTCCTCATATAATAACATATTTGGCTTAAAGATCCAAATCCATTATATTGTCAAAATACCAAATTACCAAATTGGAGTGAGAAACCCTTGTTCTAAGAGGTTAACTGTAATGGCTAGAGTGAAAGAATCTCTAAATGGATATGCCTTCTGGGCATACAATAATATACAATTATAGCTCACACAACATCTCTGAAGGTTTGATTTTTACTAGTAGGATGGTGGACAGTTTCCCAAATGTACTTGTAAAATATCAATATTCAGATCCAATCTTTCAAAGGTCAGTGCTAAACTTTTACTTTATACAGCACACTGGACCAAACACAGAACCAAAATTTAATTAATACTCAATAAACCCTAATTTAAAATCACTGAAAGAAAAACAGATGGCCAGATGATGCCACTTCCATTTCTTTGATGGAGGTAATTTATTAATATTTTCATGTATAATTTTTTCATAATCATTACTTCTTATATTGAATATTTGTCCTCGGTAAAAGGTTTAGTCATGAAACACACCTTTTCTGAGTGTTTGAACTGACGCCAGTAACTATCATACATGCGCTTGGTAGTCCTCTCAGGATAGCAGGTCACTGTCTTAATGTAAACCTTCAGGCTTCGTTCAAGTAATTGATTAACTTCTCCATAATCATAGTCATCATACCTATAAGCAATATGACAACAAGCTTTAGAATGACAGAATCAAAATTTCTGATTTCTAAAATTATACCGAGACACAATAATTATCTAGTAATTAAATACCAAAAGCTCATTCGTTAATTCACCTAACAAATAGTTACTGAGTGTCTATTATGTGCCATGTTACTCCCCTAGGCACTGGTGATACACAGATGAACAAAATAGACAAAAATCACTGGACCCGTGGAATTTAAATTCTACTGGAGAAAAAAGAAAGAAATGAAAAAGAAAACCATACAATGTATCAGACAGTGATAACTGCTATGGAGATAAAATGCAACTGGAGGCTGGGAGGGGAATTGTGATTTTAGACAGAGCGGGCAGGAAGGCTTCTCCGACATGCTGACATTTGAGCCCTAAGGCAGGAGTCTAGGGCTTCCCATTTCAAGGAAGAGAGGATAATCAATTGCGTCCAGTGCTACTAACTAGTCAAAGAAGATGCTACTGAGAACTGACCATGGCAAGGAGCTATGCAGAGGTCACGGACAACCTCAGTAAGAGCAGCTTTGTTGACATAACAGGAGTAAAAGCCTGATACTGCAGTCGGTTCACAAGAGAATGGGAGATGAGAAAATGGTGACAGTAGACATACAAAGCTTTTTCAAAGAGATTTGCTGTGCATGGGAGCAGAAACATGAGGCAATAGCCAGAGGGAATAGAAGGATGAAGAAAGGATTTTTTTTTTTGAGATGATGAGAGAAATAATAGCATGTTTATATACTGATGGGAAAGATCTGATTAAGAGAGTAAAGTTGATTATGCAGGAGGGAGAAGGGAGAATTGCTAGAACAGGGATCTTTTGAAGATGAGAGGAGATGGGATTCTATGCCTAAGAGCACAGGAGTATAGACAGTTCATCCATAATATGAGAGAAGAAAGAGCAAACAGGCACAGAGGTAGATACAAGGGTAAATGTAGTAGTGGGAGCTTGTGGGATTTCTCTTCTATATTTTCTGTTACTTTCTAACCCAAACATAATGCTTAGTTTAAAAAAAAAAAAGCCTCCAGGATTTTATATAAACTTTATTTAGTAGCATCCAACAGAGAAAAATAATCACCGTAATATTTGTTATTTATTGTCTTGAGCATAATAAATATTTATTACAACTGAATTAAAATCTATTAGTGTTTATTTTTCTTAATTAGGTTGGCATAATATCCATTTTAAAGTGTGATGATTCTTTCTAGAATGGTAAATGGGCAAATAGCAGATTTATTATTTACCATTGTAATAGTGTCCTTTGGGTGGACTATTTCATTATTAGTTGATTTTTCAGGAAATTTGGGATCTTTTAAAAAGTTATAGAAACCACGTTGCTTAACAAATTGAATTTTAATTCCATTCCATAAAGCCTTTCTGATACTATATCAGAAAGGATATAGTATAGAGTCAACTGAATGTATCCATTCAGTTGACTGAATGAGGATTTTCCTCAGTCAACTGAATGTATTCATTCAGTCGACTGAAGGGGATTTTCTCTTTCTGCAAATCCCTCTCCATAAAAGTCTTCAAAACCCAGCTCAAAAAGGATGTTCTCCGAAAGAGCTTTCTTGATTAGGCCATTCAGTCTCATTCACTCATTGACTCCCTGTCCTCTCAATTCTAATTTTCTAAATTTAGAGACCACTAATTTATATTGACTTACAGTTTCGTTTCAGTGTTCTTATGTGAGCTTATGTGAGCTTTATGAGGGAGGACTCTACCCTAGTTTTATTTATACCTTAATTACCATTCCTCCAAAAACTAACCAACCAAGCAACCAACCAACCAGCACTTCTTACTGCCATCTAAAGGGACATAATATATACATTTTTAAATGTCCAGTTCGTCCAGTAAGGTTTCTCAAATTGAGTGATTCTCTCCTATCCCCAATGATTACTGATATTCTTTTCCCTCCTTAGTAGATTCTAACCACGATAGTTATATATGCATGTTAAGGTTCGTAAGAGTTAAACAAAGAAAATGCTTTTCTATAAGACAGAATTAATTTTTAAAAATCAGAAGTCCACATGTAATATTTTCTCCCCAGAAGCATATACTCCTCAATGGGATAGAAGTAAGATGCATGCCAGAATTTTCACTTAGAAACATATAAAACTGTCTCCATGATGACCATACCTGATTCCGAACATACAGTGAACGTAGTTAAATAAAGCTCTGCGCAGCATGGTTGTGTCAACATCCTCATGGGTGGCCATAGTGTTATAGGTGAGATTGTAGACCATGCGGAACTTCTCATCAAGAAGATGTCCAATGTCAGAATAAAGTCTGTTCACCAGGGAGAACCCATGATTTTCCCAGGTATAGTCCTAAAATAATAAAAGGTATCTCCAATTACAAAATGGTCACCCTCCATTTAACGTCTATGTTTTTAAGTATAACTACTGAAGCAAGTAAGTGGAGATATTTCAAAGTCCGTAATTCTTTCACTAATTCCAAGTTTGTAGCTTTACCAAGAATGCTTCACATCAGTTTGTAGATGGGAGTGCTGTGCTGTTTCCTCGGTGGGTCCAGGGTTTGGCACACTGGTGATGAACTCTGGTTACCTCCTGTCGTCAAGTACTATGCAAACTATGCCGTCATTTGGAAGGACCCCAGAAGACCTTGGAATACTCCTATGTGACTAAACCTACTCAGTGACACGGATGGTTAGCAGATCATATGAAGCAAGCACAGAGGAGTCTGTCTTTATTCACACTCATACTCTTTTTATGAACCACATCATTACTATGGCTCTTTTCTAGGGCTGGGGAGGGGGTGGCCCTTAAGCCGTAACTACTGGTGTATATGATCTTATTACAAAATGCCTTTTTATTATAAATGTGAACATAGCACTCGATTTCCTCCCTGCCCTCTCCAAAAAAGGACATTATACAACTATCATGTAATAATGCAAGTAACTGAATAAAGCAGTTTCCTTTTGCCTTCTAAGGGAGTTAATGTTGAAATAATAATCCATCAACTGGGACATCAAATTAGACAAGGCCGAAAACTAGGTTAAATAAAGATATTTACAGATTCTATCAAAATATTAATTTATTTAGAAGTCAATTTATTTACATTTCAACATTTCACAATTAAAATGACAGTATCTCTTCTCCAGTTTCTCTGAATTAAAGGCATCTCATACCTGAGCTCGGAATGTTGGCAAATGCTCCTCTCCTCGTCTGGCAAAGTCTTCATACCCAAAACCAGGGTCTTCGATATATCGGGAGACATCAGATGTTATAATCATGTCATCCTCAAAATCTAAGGACAATAATGAACAACCTAGTGTTAAGGAAACCATACGGCGTTAGAACAAATGAATCAGCTTCATTTTCCTCCACTTTTTCGCTTAGCTTTTCCATGGCTTTCCAAAGTGACAATATTGACTACATGGCTTAAATTCACATAAAATATCTTTAGCTGACGTTTTGAATACAACTTCATTACCAAATATTGGCAATCGTAACATTCAGCTGTAGTAACCCAGGCAAAAAATTGACTAAATATCTAAATAGTAGTAGTCAAGGATCAACACATGTGTTTTACTTATTTAGAAAAGGAAGATAGCAGGCCTTTGAATATAAAGCTTAAAAAATTTTTTGATCTCTCCAGGGGATGAAGTAGGATGTGGGGAAAGAGAAGGGATGAAGGTGAAAGACCACTTAAAATTGAGTTTAATGTTAAGATGAATTTTATTAAAATTAGATGGTGTTTCATCTGGATGTATTCACAGTGAAAATTAGTTCAATAGAGTTCATTTTTAGCTTACAAAGAGGCATCCAGGGAGAACTTGTAAGCGTTCACAATAGGGAGGAAAGTAGACTTTTGGGTACCACTATTATTCCCTTAGTTGATTTGGGTGCTAGTTAAACAGGAAGGATCAGTTTGTGTGTAAAGTTCATTAAGTTTTACACCTAAGATACATGCGCTTTTCTGTGTACATGAAAACAACAAGGTATACAACATATGAAGTAAACAAGACTGCTTCTGAGACTGTGATTAGAATATTTTCAAAATGGCATTCAGAAAGACAGAAGACTATAATGATATTTTAAGACAGTTGACTTCTGTATACTTGATAATATTAAAAATTTACCACTGAAAAATTGTAAATGCCCAATGCATGTTAATTTGATTTAAAGATAATTCTTTTTTAACTTATTTTTTTTTCCTAGGTTAGTCTGTCTTTATAATTACTCTTTTTCTGATTTCAACCACTAAAAGGGAATGAACAACCTTTATTTACTACCTTCTACTCTAGAAAATGAACACATATTTTTCAAAATAAAACACTAGTTTCTTCCACATAAAGAACAGTATTTTCCTAATAAGTGTTTTAATTAACATTAAATAAATTTAACATTTAATAAATAAATAAATATTAAATAAGTAGTTAGTGAAACAATTTTGTGACATAATAAAAATTATACTCCTCAAGTGGACAGTCTTGAGAAGCTTAAAATACAAGTGCAATTACAGTAATTCATCTGAAAGACCTAATAGACTAGTAGTACCTGAATTATCTTTAATCTTTGCTATTCATGAAAATCCTAGCAACTATTCTTTTCTCATGAGTTTTGACACCTCCTTAGTTCCCTTGGCATGGACTAATTAGGGTGCTTAATATAGGCAGGAAAGCTCAAGTGCCCAGGCTACCCCACCTAGGAAGCAGCTTATTAAAATCTTACGTAACTTATTACACATAAAGAGAAGAAACTAGCATTTGTTGAGTACTTACAATATACCAGATACTATGCTATGTACTTAATATCTATTTTTTCATTGTTTCATTAATATGAAAAGAAATATATACTTAAGAAATAATATGAAAATAAATATATACTTAAGAAATAAAACTAACTGTAATTTACTAATACCATTATCAGTACTGAGTGTCAGTAACGAATACAGTGTGGGTTAGTTTAAGATGATGTGGGAAACTTGTAACCATTAAACTACTTAAACTGATCTGAAGCTTTTAGGTGACTTGCAGTTCTCTGAAGAGAAAGCTCAGGCTTCTTCCCACCCAACCCCACAACCACTGCCCTGTCTCCCTGTGCTCCAGCCTCTGTTCAGATAAATAGAAACACTTAAAAAATGGTGTCTTCACTGCATTATCTCCTAACATGTATGGACAAGGTTATGCTTTCCTGAATTCAGTTCATCACATAATAAATATAAATGAAGCCAAAAATGTAAAATGTAGTAGCAATCACTGAAGCTGCTATGAAAACTAGGAGTCTTGCGGGTTAAACCAAGACCAGTGAGTAAGTCTCTGATAAATACGTTCTATAAACTTATTTTATTTCCCAGTTCTATAAAATAAACTTATTTTATAGAACTGATAAATAAGTTCTATAAAATAGCTCCTCTCTTGAAGTGATCTTCCCCCCCACACTGTACAGCCAGGTGGTCTAATTTGGCGGACATTGATCCTGGAGTTGACTATTACACAGCTGGCTCCTTTGACTTTGCTCTTAGCTTTTGTTTTGCTCATATATATTTCTAAATTGTCACAGGAACTTTAAACATTTTAAAATAAACAATAAAGAGTAAAACCAAATATGATAGAATTTATCCTACAAATAATATCCATCTATTCATTTTCAAATTAGGAGTCAGTCAAGATCTGTGTTCTAGACAATTTTGTCCATAGAAGGAAATATACAAAGTTCTCTCACACTACAAATATTTTTTCCCTAAATTTACCTTAAGAAGTTAAGTTAAAAAAAAAATGTGTCTGATCGGCAAATCTAAAACTCTAATCTTAATTCTATCTAAACAAATATTTCAAACTCTGGACTCAAAATATTATTTTACATATTACCTGCATTCTTCTGAGGTGGCTACTAATATACTACAAAAAATACTATGTTACAGTAATGGAGCACCATTCTAACTTGGAAAAAAAGAAAACAATAAAAGCTAGTTAACTCTGTTATCAAGCTACAGAATTCTCCCCTTGTAGAACAATTTAAACATTTATTTTCTCCAAGAGGTTTGAAAAACTATTCTTAGAATCTCTGCATGGAACCTAAACTGATCAAACCAAGAGGCTTGTTATAGGGAAAAATAAATTTCTATTTCCATTTTAAAACGTAGTAAGTCTATAAAAGTAACTCAGCCACATACTGAGTCATTTTTCTGTTATCTTTGTGTGACCAGCAAATTTAGTACTGGGAATGGTGAAGAGTTAATAATGAAACAATTTATTTCCTTGAATAATTTATAAATGATGCAGCCTTTTCTGTTAAAATCAGAACATAATTTTTGGCTAGGGTCTAAGACTTGCTAGTCAAAATTCACTATAGAAACTAGAAGTCCTTGCTCAAGGGTCCAAGAAGGTAAAGACTGGGATTCTAAAATATATTTTCAATACTAAAAAAAGAAACCTAAAAGAAATAAAACATTTATATGTCCTTTAAGCTCTAATGGTCTTAGAGAAGCTTTAAAAAATTAATGTCTATGCCATGTTTCACCGCTATTCAGCTCCAAGTATTTTCTAACCATTGTAACTTTTTCTTTCACTCTGTGCTATTTAGAAGTATACTGCTTAATTTCTAAACACTTGAGAAGTTTCCAGTTATTTTTGTTACTGATTTCTAGCTTACTTCCATTACAGTCAAAAGTTATGCTCCATGAAATTTTAATCTCAAAATTTGTTGATATTTGTTTTATTAACAGTATATGGTTGACATTGGGAAATTTTCTATGTGCACTTGAAAAAATGCTATATGTTGCAGATTGGGATATAGTGTTCTATATATATCAATTAGCTAAAAGTGTGCTAAATAAGTTTAAATACTCTCTGGATTTTTGTCTACTTACTCTTTCAGTTATAAAGAGGTGTATATTAAAATTCTTCATACATACACACAAAAATTAATGTCTAAAAGCGAATAGATATTATTAACCTTAATACAATTACATTTTAAAATATTGGTTTACCTAGAAGGCTCATTACTTTCCTTTGTCCCATTTGTTTTCCCTGGATGATTTTTATAAACAACGTTTTTGATTTTAACTCCCAAATATATGCTGATAACTTCCAAAACTTTATCTTGAGCTTAAAACCCTCTCCTGATCAACACTTGCTGCTCCAAGTGTGGTTTGCTGACCAGCAGCACGGGCATCACTTGGAGACGTGATAGAAATGAGGCTTCTCAGGTCCTGGCCCGGATGGACCAAATACAAATCTGCATTTCAACAAGATTCCTCAGTGACTCAAGTGCACATTAAAGTTTGAGAAGCACTGTACTAGATGTCTCCAGACTGGAAGCTTTAGAGACATCGCAACCCAACATGTTCAAAATAGGGCAGGTTACTTGCTCTTTAAGGTTAGAAAGGTCATCATGATAAGGCCTCTACCTACCTAATCAGCTTCCTCCTCACATTACCTACCTCATGAGTTACACGTCCTAATGCAGAACCACTTGCTTCTGCACCCACCATCCTGTTTCCTTACCACCGTGCCTTGGCTCAGGCAGGTATGCTGTTCACCACCAACTCCCCATCCCCCAGTCACTGTCAGACTCCCTTGCACTCAAGTCTCTAAGATTTAGCTTCGAGCCAAGCAGCTGGAGGAAGTCCTCCTCTAGAACCCCTTCTGTCCACACTCCTCCCCCACCACGACTGGGTCCATATACCCTTCACATTCTGCCATGTATTGTAATTATTTCTTTCTCTCCCAATAGCAATGAGAGCCCCCCCCCCCCAGAGGGCAGGAATCATGCCTTATTTAGCCTGGAAACCTTAGTACCTACCACCCTGCTGAGATTACATAGGGTACAATAAATGTTTGTAGTATGAATAGTAAATCAATAACCAAAACAATAAGCTTCTTTATATTTGGCATTTCCTGCTGGTTAGAAGCTCTGAGAAATTATTATTAAATATACTCAGTTTGGTAGATAAAATCCTTCATAAAAAAAAATCATCGGGAAAATGATAAAAGGGGTTCTTGTTCTTCCTGGTAAAACTTCTGAGAGCTATTGGTCAACGCTATATTTAACAAATAAGTCATGGCCAAATCAATTACCCTCAGGATTTATGAGACTGACTAGCTTTATGACTAGTCATTTTGAAGCCCTCTTTTAAACCAAGGGAACTCTAAAAATAAATGTTATGTAGATTGATGACTTTGAAGGGTTTAAGCTTTCAAAGTCTATTGAGTCTATGCTATTTTAATAACATTTACTATGTGGTGTTCAATATCTCTTTTAGTCATAATTGCAAAGTTTCCCTCCTATTTCAAAGTCTCTCAGAGTATTAGGAAAAAAGTGTGTTCTTAAGACTTGAGCAAAGAAGCCTAGCTTTTAATACAGAATGAATTCCTCCAAATTCAATCTAAGAAAATGACCTAAATAATATATTTTTATAAAATTCCAAAGGTTTCTCCAAAGAAATGCAAATGCAAGTGCAGTATAATTTTAGAACTAATCTGGAAAAAAGTGGCAGTGTGAGAAGAATCCTCCCACATAACTCCCCACCCACAAAAAAGGCAGAGATATTTCTTACAAATTACATCTGTCGAAACAGAATTTTACTTATCATTAAAAAAAATTACAAAAGTAGGATGGATTAAATATTACTATCTAACCTTACAAGCAACTGGTCTGCTCTGAAAAAACATTTTATCCAGGATAGAATATGAACTACAAAACTGAAGTACCTCGCAACTGAATCTGAAATATATTCAAAGATACGCCAACATAAGAGGGGAAGCAGTGGCATCAGGGTCAGGTAGAGGAGAACTAAATGAAAGGAACGTGGTAGTAAAACCGTTTGGACATATCCATATGGAAAATACTGAAGGTGGTCTGTCAGGGTTCTAAGAACAACTAAAAGGCAAAGACAGTGAAATAAAAAAGCACCTGAATGAGGAAATGAATGAAAAGTATCTCCGGAGACCACAAAAAGACTTTCTTTCTTCTCCTTCTCAAAGCGAGTGGTCATTTCTTCCTGAGATGCCTCTTCATCTTCCCTTTCTTCTTGAAGCCTTTTCATTCTTTCCATTAAGGCCTCTAGCTCACTTAGAGAATCGACGATCTGGAGCCAGAGAAGATAATATTGGGTGTTATTAATATTAAAAGTTGTTCCAGTCAATGTCTCCATCTCCCAATGTCGCCTTATGCATAGTGGCACTAGCAGAGTTATTAAGTTCCTAAGTGGGTTTTCCAGTAACTCCAAAGAAAATCATATGACAAAATTAAACATTTTCAGAAGTGTAGTGTTTTTGCCTCAGCTATAAATACAGAAAGTTTATATGAATGGATTTATTTAATCTAGAATTCTAGAATTTGGTATATATTAAATTACATTATCACTTATTTTGAAAATTGAGGCAGCCTTACGATTTGTAATATGATTTGTAATCTATTTGCTTTAAAAGCTTCCTTAAGACAATTCAGAACTTCAGGTACAGGTTAAATTTTTACAGTAATAAAAATTATACGAAATATTTCAAGTACATAATATCCTGTTTAATCAGATAAATTCACTAGATTTTTTCTTTTCTTTTTTTTTTTTGCGGTACGTGGGCCTCTCACTGTTGTGGCCTCTCCCATTGCGGAGCACAGGCTCCAGACACGCAGGCTCAGCGGCCATGGCTCACGGGCCCAGCCGCTCCGCGGCACGTGGGATCTTCCTGGACTGGGGCACGAACCCGTGTCCCCTGCATCGGCAGGTGGACTCTCAACCACTGCGCCACCAGGGAAGGGAAGCCCTCTCTAGATATTTTTAACGTAGCAAGTTAAAAGGCAAAGTAGTAAAGAAAACAGTTAAGAAAACTAACCCCAAAGTTGCTGCCTGTTAGAGATGCATTCTCTATGTTGTTGTCATTAGCGAGATCACACACACAGAAATTGTTGACTGATATTAGCCTGAATCCATTGGAGATTTCTGGATCTCTTTCTGGATTGATGCCACTACCAAAAACAAAGCTTGCCAAAGCATGATAATGTGCCAGTAGGACCACGGCATGTACCAGTTCGGGCAGAGACCAATTATTTTCTCCAGTTTTGACAAGTTTCTGAAATGAAAAAGCAAATCAGAGTAAAAGTGAAAATCATACAGTGCTACAAAGCAATTTTTAAAAGTATGGAAAAATCTATAAAATTTCACATGTCCATTTATAATACTTAAAATTCCCTTTAAAAATGTGTCATATATTAAAGATACAGCTTTGCTCAAACAATGTTACATTAAACCTATCAAACCTAACAGCAGAAGTACGTCGTGGCTTCTCTGAAATTCCTTATATATACAACGGAACTTCTGCTTCCAAAGCACTTTTACATATTATGCTATTTTAATAAGGTATTTTAGAGAATCCAAGAACACTGAAGCTACTTTAAGTAGGGAAGGGACTTTAAAGATTCTCTAGCAAAATCATTCATTTTAAGGTTTTAAGGTAGAGACTCTACCTTAAAAATCACATAAAAATTTATTCAGTAAGTTAACTTTTAGTTATCTTTTAGATATCTTCTCTGACGGAAGAACCTATAGCAGATGAGAGAAACTGTAGAATACTAGCTCACATTTGAAAGGACATAAAGAATATCAAAGCACTTTTTTATATGCTATTTTACTGGATCCTCCAGATGAATGATGGAATCATAAGTGAAGCCATTAAAAGCAGTAATCCCTTCAATACCAATTCCAGCTGTTAATCTGTCAGGGATCCTCTCCCATCCATCTCTGTCTATCTGTCTGTCTGTCTCTTTCTCAGTGCGTGTGGATGTGTGGGGATATGTCCTGCTGTGCCTTCACCCCCCACCCCACCACAAATGTAAAACTTTTATTTGTTTCACTTCACAGCTAAAACCCAAAACCAAAAAACTGCTTTTGCCTTACTCTCCATTATTCAACTACATACAAATTTAATACCAAAAGCTCAGGGGAAAAAAAGGGAAAATCAATCATATTCTACCACTCTAATGTAACTTTTACATATCTTCTTTTATTTTTATAAGTAGTATTATATAATCCGAGTATACATACATTTTTATCTGCTTTTCAAACTTTTTGAAAAGTGCAATGTTCATGGGGCTCCACTGTCTTCTATTAATTATTAAGCATGGGCTATATTGTAGCCCAGGACTACATCTCCATTCCCTTACACATTAAAATTGCTATAACTTTGTTCATATTTTTATAAACAATCCCTAATAGATAATAAAAGTCTGAGAGTATGCATATTGACAAAAGCTAAGTTTGGTTTAACTGGGTAAATAACTAACAAAATGAGGAAAAAACAAAACAAAACAAAACAAAACCAAGGACATTTCTGTGCATTAGAAGCAGGGATTTTAAATACCTAAGGCTTCTACTGATAATGATTTAGATGATGACTCCTACTTATTGAATAGTTACCAAGTGCCAAGAACAGTGCTAAGCATATTATACAACAACCTCACCCTGGAGGCCTTTCAAAGACACTCCTTTTGAAGGGCAAGTGCTCCAGTCAATCACAGTTCTCTCTCTTATCTAAGTTCTAGTTTCTAGAGGCATGTAAGCATACACACACTAGCTGGCAAATCATTTTTATTTGCAAAACCACTTTTTCAAAATCTTAAAATTTTGAAATGTTAGAACTAGAAAAGAGTTCTAAATTAGGAAATGTTAGAACTAGAAAAGAGTTTAGAACTCATTTAATCTAGGTCCCTCATTTTATAGAAGGGTGAACTACCAAGGCCCACAGAAGTAAACTTACTAAAGGTCACAAACTTGTGGGTAACAGAGTTAAGAGACTAGAACCCAGGTATCTTATCCTGCTAGTGCATGTTCTTTGTTCTATCTACTGCTTGAAAATAGGAATCAACTTTTCTTATAGCTACTCGCTAAAGCACTAGTAGAAGCTAATTACTGATTACTTGAAGAGAAATATTCATTTACATTTAAATTAAACCCACTGACTTTCTAAATTTATCTTTTCTACACATATTAATACACTATTTTTTATTTTTCAAGTTCCTAATATGCAAGTATTTAAAATTAAGTCTTAAGTAAAATACTTAACTAAAGAATTAACTCTTAGTGAGAATCGTTAGTAAACTTTTTTTTTTCCCGAAAGAAACACTCAGTACCTGAATGTGCTCTTTTGTGATCAGCCAGGGTCGGTGTGCTAACAGCTTGTTTATTTCATTAAGATTTTTCAGTCTTTGTGGTACATATTCCAAACCATTCAACCATTCAGCAATACCTCCTGTCTTTAAAAATTCATCCACATGCATGTTTATTAAGTAAGAACACTGATGTCTAGCTGCAGCCTGAAACACAAAGAAAAAAGTTAGTGGATAAAATACTCATGGTATGGTCTTATTCTACTATTACTAAGCCAATCACTGAGATAGAGTTAATTTTTATAGCTAGTAATTCTTTTCTTACAAAATCCTCTTCCAAAAACTTTCATCACAATGCTGTCATAGATTCTTGAATCAATACATAAAGCTGATACTTTATATCGACCTTACTGTCATCAAAACCTTAAGCTGAGTAATCTTTGTCAAGCTCATCATTTAATAAAACACAGGATGCAGCCCTTTTTTGTTGTTTAAAACTTCAGTGAGAGCATAAACAAATTTAACTGGATAAAAACTAACTCTTGGCTGGCTCTGCTCACTCTGCCAGCCCAGCCGTTCCACTAACCTCTCCAAATATATAGCACTTGCATCTTGTCTTCTTCTTTCCTCCAGCAATAGTCCAACTGTAGCACTGCTTCTATCCTTATTACTCCTGCTGCCTATCATCCCAATTTATAATTCTCCCCACCAAACATTAACTAGCTAACTAGTTTGTACCAACTACTCAACTTAGAAGTGTTAGAGTTCACTTAGGAATTCTTCTCTTATCCAGAGCCTCCTTTGGTGCTGGCTGATACTTTCCTCTTATTTGGCCAAATTAGTGATGTTCATCTTGTAAAGAATGACTAAAATGGCACAAACAACTAGTTTTATATTAATAATAAAACAAAGCTATCAGGAGCAAAAACAAAACTTGTGGGCTACTAGAGATATTACTTTGGACCCTACAAGCATCTTTAATCATAAGAGATGAAACATGGAAAATGACTTTACTAATAATTAAATGAGAAACATTCAGTACATTAAGTGGCTTAAAGCATTCAAAATGTATCCAATGGACTTGGGATCCAAAAGTCCACAGTCTTTTTCAGTTCTTATTTCTACCTAATTATACTTAGCTGTGCACACACATATAATACTAGGAGGGAGAGGGACCAAGTGAGGATGATGTCACGTGAACACAGCGCACCATAATGGCGATGTAGTGCCGGTGCGGTAGAGGAAGGGGGCCGTCCATGCGCAGCATGTAGAACTGGCTCCTCAGGAAGGACTCCAGGTACTGCGTGTGCAGACTCATGACCTGGGTGATGTTGTCCAGGCGACCGGATGTAGAGTATTCTTCCACAAGAAAGTTAGTACGTTCATCCACTGTGTTTGCTTGGACAACCTTCCAATCAAGAAACAAAACAATATCATGATTTTTGTAAACACACCCTTGGTTTACACACATTAGGCCACGATTGAAGCAAATGAATGTTCTTTTTATATTAACAGACACTGAAATTATGTAGTTGCTCATATTAGAAACAGAAATGAAAAAGAAAGCCCATGCATTTTTGGCTCTGGGACCACAATTTATTAAACAACAAATGTCAAATTATCAAACATTATACACACAGCTATGAAATTGGAGAAAAGAAGCTCCCATCTGCTTTGCCAGGCACATAAGGCAAAATTGGGGAGGCAAAAGCGCTGGCATCCGATTACATATATTTACAGTTTTATCTCAATAGCCTATGAAGATACTTAATCACTATATCTTAATACAAGTATTTTCAGACTGATCCTTTGCTTTTTTCATTATTCAACATAAAAAAGCTTTCTGCAGTCTTTTTAGGGACAAAGAAAAATATGATAATTTGTAGGAAAGTGTTAATTGAAAACTTAATAAGGACACTAGAATTCCTATTTTGAGCCTATCATATTAATTACTAAAAACAAGGTAAATTATTACAATGAACATGCTGCATTGGAGAGAATCAAAAGAGCTTTCTCAAAAATAGATTATTTACATATAGTTTTATAAACAATGACAGCTCAGGCGTCATACCAAGAATTGGCTCCGAAGGTGTTAAGAGCTTATTAGCACCGCTTAGAAGGACCCTGCTCTGTGGGAATTAATACACATCAGATGTGTATTTCTCAGATTGGTTCATTATTTATTGGTATTTTAGAATTAGAGTTCTAGACCTAAGAAGAATGTGTCCCTTATTTTAGATAAGGAAACAGGCTCAAGATTAAATTCAACTCATACAGCTATTTAATAGCAGAGCCCAGTCTAAAATCTAATCTTCTAAAGTCCAGACTCATGGTCTTTCCAAAGATCCACACTGCTCTTAAGAAATTCTGTTTACTTTTCAGGGCTGGCTTCACAGTCTCTTCTGAAAATAAGTACAAATTATACAAAGACACTACTGACTGAGGAAAATTTAATCCCAAAGGAAATGTAATGTTTGAAAAGTATAAATTGTGAGGAAATGTTAATTACAATGGTGTAAAAAAGAGGCAATTCCACTTTGGCTCATTATAAAACCGAATATATTTCCATTTGCCCATTTCCTCCCATTTTGTCAACTACAGGGAACCAAGATGATAGTTAAAAATATGATAGGATTAAGATAAACTACATATAATTAGGGACAGAATATTTGCTGTTTTTGTTTTATTTTCCAGCAGCAGATTCTTCTGTTTAACTGATGCCTAAAATACATTAATAGATTCATATGATGCAACAGATCCTGAAAACAGCAGCTGCTTCTGCAAACCAGATTGTCTTCAAATACATACTGTGTAAATGGTTGTGTTTCAGGAAGTCTTTATATATATATGAGGCAATCACTCTGCTAAGAGCAACCCTCTGCTCTATGAGGGAAATAGGACAAGCACAGCAGTTTCTCTAATGAATGGTCACCACCTAGATCAGCCAGTCACTGAGCTCCTGAAACATTACTGTTAACTTTGGAGTTTCATTAGATGGTAAGGTCACTAAAAAGGCAAATGAACATGATGGAATTGCTGACTGTGGCAATGGCCTGGCATGTATTATTATTCAAATTCTACTCATCCCTTCTTTTAAGCGTTGCCTGAAACATAATAGGTACTCTATAAATATGTGTTGACTAATTTCTGAACAATAAAGGAATAATGCTGGTGCTTTAAGATAAATGATATCTTTGCAGCCAATAGTAAATCAATATATATAACCATAGTTAATATGAATTAATAACTCCTTGAAACAGAGAAAAACTCATTTAGTGGTCCTTAAACTTTTCTTAGCCCGAGTATAACTTAGAGGCATCTAGGAATCTACAGGTCCTAAACACTGCTGTGACCTTTCATAGATATATATACCCATTAAATAGGTACACAAATCTTGTATTGATTATAATCTCCTTTGTGTCATTTTACATCCTTTCTTTCAACATTTACCAACTGAACTTCCCACCCTCATCAAAGGTGCAGCTTGGAGTGGAGATTCTGTGACATTCTGTCCCACCAGAGACTTAGAACCAAATGAAAAGATTAACTACTAGTGATATAATATCATGTTTTCTTCAACAGGTTTAGTTGGGAAACTCACTTTTTCATTTCAAAATGTCTTTTCTTAACATTTATGTAACCTATAATCGCCATGAAACACTAGCCATTTTAAAACCTTAAACCTTCAAAATAATATTGTTTTATTATTGTTAGCAGCTTTGTTCAGAAAAGTTATATTTGAAATCAAATATGGTAAAATGTATATTATTCTGACTTTGCAGTACTACCTAACTCCAAAATAAGAAGGCAGATTATTACATGCACAGTCTTTTAAGTGAAGTTGAAAATACCTCTGTGGTTTTCTGACATATAAATAAGAAATAAGAGCAAAACAAAGGTTTACTTCCATGTTAAAAAAATGGAGATATTCTTTGACATAATTAAGCTATTTTTTAAGTCACACTTTATGTATGTTAAGACATCAACTTACTTCCTTCTCTGGAATAAAGGCACTTGGTCCTCTTGTCAAGGGTTGAGATACTCTGATTCTTTTATCCTGTTTTTAAAAGAAAAGTTTTATGTATTAATGATGACTTTCTATGTAAAGTTAAATTGGTGCAGATTGACTGCTAAGGTACTAAAATAAATGGAATAAATAAATAGAATTATGTAAAATCAGAGTAAGTGTTAGGTCTTGGTTCCCCCGCACCCCACCCCCCGCAAAACACAAACAACAACAACAAAAACCCCATATGGCCATTGCATGAACAAGATAATGGGACAGACAAGCTCCTACCACAGTGCTGGGTACACAGTAGGCTCCCCAAATGTCATTTCCCTCAGTAACACTCTACAGCACCATAGATTTTTTAGCCCATATTTGACGTGACTGAAAACCATCAACCTCCATAATAAAATCATATCTAATAATATACTAGTACACTGTTAGACCTCAATTTGAAAGCTAAAGGAAAGGTTAAATTCTAAAAGGATTACATACAACTACCCAAAGCAATGATCTGACTTGTGTTCTTCTTTCTGAATAAAATAGGAATAAGCATATTTAATATAAAGTTTTGAAGCTTTAAGTAAGAAAAATGTAAACCTTGGAGAAGCAGAGGTTAATTTAATATAAGAAATGGAGACTATAGCAATGCTTATTGTTCCACTGCTATTCTATTTAGTATTAACAACTGCTAGATTGCCAGTGGTATGTCTGAGTGTTTAATTTTTTAAGTTTTTAAATTTTTTGCTAAATCGTTTTGGTGTCCCCATTCAATCAGGGACTAACTTCCTTCTCGGTAGGCATGATGAAGAACTCTCAGGCTTTGAAATCCTTTTTAACCAGGAGAAGAGATAGGAGGAATGGCCACTTAATTTTCTATAATAAAAGTGATAGCCTAAGATTCTGAAATAGAAGCCCTCCAAAGTCATTACATAAAAATAGGGACTATGCCATGGTTTATAAATATTATAAAGACTGGGAAACTGAAGAACATGGGAACAGATGTCTGCTGGAAAGGAGTGTTAATATTAAGCTTGCCACCAAGCCCTCCTCAGGAAACTGCTAAAATGAGGAAGCAGCTCTAGGTGGTTCCTATCTGAGGATGGCAATAACTATTTCACATGACCTTGTGTCCTGGCCACAGCCAACTAGACCAATCAACACAGAAGCTGATCTGCAGCCCACGAGTGCCTTGATGAAAAACGTTCTACCCAGACAGAGCTGAGGGTAATTGGCTGGACCAGTAAGATTCTAGAGTACTAGAGTTATAGGAAAGTAATGTAATATGACAGAGAAGAGACACAAAATAGCTCTCAGAAGCAGAGGCAAAGAGAAAACAATGAAGCAGCAGCAGAGTGGCATCAATAGATACCAGCCTCTATGGGAAAACCACTAGAGTTTCTACAGATTCACAAGAGAAGAGCCCAATCATCTCTTCTTTCTCTCCCTTCCCCCTCCCTCTTTTTTCTCCACAAGGTAACCTGAATTTTTTTTGTTCCTTACCATGCAAGAGCCTACCAAACACAAAACAGTTATTTAAATCCCTTACTTCATTAGGAAGCAGTCAGACATTCAACAATTCTTTGACAACCTAATCAGATACTGTGATAGACTGAAGACATAGGGTGAGGAAAACAGATATGGTCCCTGCCCTTGGGAGCCTGGCACACAGTCTTCAACAATTTCAGGGTTCTACTGAAATAAATATATTAAATAATGATCATCTCAAACTGCTAATGTTTCAGAAAGAAGTAGGCATCTAGGTTATATTTGTGATGTGATGACAAATAGATCTCTATCTACTGGTGAAGTGATTAGAAGATTCCATGTAAAAAGGAATAATTTAGAATTTCTAATATTGGTATTTCTTGTCTGCATCAACTATCATCTAAATTTACCTGGAAAAATAATTTAAAAGAAAATAACAGATTTCTTCCCTTTGCTAGCCTTAGTAAATTATAGAAAATAAAATTTCGGATACTCTCTATATAGTATAGCCTAATGCGCTAGTATGTGAAAAGCAATTTCCTTGACAACTGATCATTTCAAATAAACAAAGCAGTCAGAGGAACTGATTGTGAGAACAAATCACAGGTTTGAGGGGAAAAATATCAATAGAGAGATAAGTGGAGGCTTTTATTTATGTGCATAAAAATACATAAAATTCAGAGAAGATACAGGGAGAGAAAAATAAACTAAAAGTGTACAAGGGGACTTTGGAGAAAGAATTATTTATTACTAATATGATTTATTTATAAAAATCATTACTTGATATATTTATCAACTGAATTTACCTTTAAATGTCTGAAATAGTTATTTTGCCTACAAAAATATTTTCTGGAATAGCAGAGAATTAAATCTGAAATACAGTTTCATCACAAATGGAACTGCACACCACTGCACGTAAAAGAATATAACATGTGTTAATTTTAACCAATTGATAAGAAGCAACTGACACGATTTCATTTGTGTCAACATTCATTTGTTCATTTATTCAGCAAATATTCACTGAGCATTCACAATGTGCTAGGCACAGTGGGGACACAAAAAAGGAGTAGATTGGCAAAAATGCATTAACTATATCATATGATATAGTCCATAGCAGATGCATATACAAAGTGATATGGGAAGACATCATTTTATTAATTATCATTTACTTAGTCATTTTCCATTAAAGTTATCTATAGTTTTCACTATTATAAATAATGCTATGATGACTATCTTTGTATAAAGAGACTTGGGGGCACATTTTGTGGTATTTAAAATGGTTTCTTTAGAAAGATTCCCAGATGTGGATTTACTAGGGTTTAGGTTATAAATCTTTAAAGTTCTTGTTGCATACTACCAATATGCTAATGGAAATGTTTTACCAGTTCTATTTTCATCAGCTGAGAAAATGTTCACTTAACCTACTTACTTCAAAAATGAAAAACAGCCTTCAAAAATGTGTTTGAAACTTTTAATTGTATACATATTTGAGGTAAAATTCCTTAAGCAGAGTTGTGATCAGATCTATGTTTTTAATAATACAATTCTGGGAGTGATGTGGTCCCTGGGCCAGAGACAAAAAACAAAAAGAAAAACAAAACAAACAAACAAAACGAAACAAAACAAAAAAACTACAAAAAAACACCCTAAAACAAAAAACAGAACAAAACAAAACCTTAGCTGGGAAGCTAGTGCAATAGCCCAGGGGATAGATGACGTGGCCTCACCTAAGAGAGATATTTATACACTGAAGAGAAGGGAAAACTAACATTTTAAAGTTATACCAGCATGTATCCTTCTTTGGTTATATTTTTAAAATGGCGTCACTATTGAAAGGATCAGCCTACCTCCAGCTTCTGTAAAAGAAGCATATTTTCTGGTGAGGACTCTACTATTGTCTCAGTTGACTGTGTTGCATATTTATAAGAAGGTGAAAAAATTTTTTTTTAACAATCAAGGCAGCTTGTAAATTCTACTTAAAACTCATTTTCCTGAAAGTTTATTCCCCACCTACTTTCTATTTCTGTATGTTTTTAAAGTTGATAAAACACAAAAGAAATAGGATAGCACCATATCCAAAAGATTCCCTTTACAACCATAAGGTGGAGTTCTGGTCCCCTGTAATACCTTGTAATACCTTTCCTCAGCTTTTATTTCAAATCTAAAATGCCCAAGGACTGGGTTCCTACTTTATTCATGTCCTGATTCACTTTTCTGAAGTCTCCAGACCTGTGTTGCCTTATGTGGCAGCCATCAGCCACATGTGACTACATTTAAATTAATTAAAATTAAATAAAGTTCAAAATCCAGTTGCTTAATCATGCTGGTCACATTTCAAGTGCCCAGCAGCCACACGTGGCTCTGGCTCCTACTGTACAGGCCTGTGCAGGCATCTCCATCACAGAAGCTTCCACCATCACAGAAATGCTGCTTGAAACTACATCTGATTTTCTTTTAATCACATCTTCAGGCATTTTAATGCCTTTTTGAAATGTTAAATGACTGCTCTGCAGAGTTTTTGGTCTGATGGTCACACCTACTGAATCCCATAACCAAGCATCTTAATGTAACTGCAGAAATCCTCTCAACCGAATTGAGAGTGAATCCAGACAGAAACAATTTAGGAAAAGAAAACAAAAAAACAACAAAATCAGCCAGTTCTGAGAATCTTCGTCTCAATGTCTGCACATATTACCGTCTGCAAAAAGATATCAAGGACTTTTTTTTTTTCCCCTTTTAAAAAATTACGGTAAAAGAACACATAACATGAACTCTACCCTCCTAACAAGTTAAGTGCACAGTACAGTACTGAAAACAGATGTCCAGAACTTTGTCATCTGGCATAACTGAAACTTTACACCCACTGAACAACAGCTGCCCACACTCTTCAGATCCCAGCTGAGATGCTACCCCTGCAATCACTGGCCTTCTCACCTCCATGGACAATTCACATCTGCTTCTTGCTAGGCAACTCTCCCCTAGCTCAGCTTTCCTAGCACTGAACCATCCAATACACTGACTTCTTTGAACATTTCTACACTCTTCCTAGACATTCCTTGCACTTCCTTCATTAACATTCATTCTCTCAAGGGAGCGTTCTCGTCCATAGCTTCCATCTTCTTGATACAAACAAAACTCTACTGAACTGTTGAGCTTCACTATATTGGGGGGAGGAGGGTGGAGCAGATTAAGGAGAGAGAAGGGCATGTGATGTGAAAAACAAGCAAGCCCTGCAACTGACTGCTGCATCTTTGCTATTGAGCTCAGAGCTAGCTCTGCTCTGCCCTTCCATCTGGCTCTGGGGCATTTTGAACTGCTGGGGCATTTTGGAACCTTAAAATCAACATGTTTCAGACTAATCTCCTACCCTAAACAGGTTGTTCCTCACTTTCCTCTATAAGTTATAAATCACCATACAACACCAGTAACCCTGGCTCTGATTTACAGAGTCATCTTTGACTCTCCATCCTAGGAATATGCATTCAAACAGCTGCTAAATCCTATAATTGCCTTTTCCCCACAAAATCTTTCAGTTACCCTTTCCCCAGCTCCATCTCAATCAT